GTAAAAAAAAAGAAAAGAAAAAGAATATCAATATTATTAATTAAAAATAACGACACTAATTTTAACTAATAAATTTTACTCCATGAATGAATGCTCTGCATAAATTTTCGTAGAGTGGTTTTAGGGATTTTTTTTCATGAAATTAACATTGTTCATTATATATATATTTCCAAGGAAGACATGAATACTTCTATATCAAGCCTAAACAAATCTCAACCTAACTACAGATCCAAAAAAAAAAATCTCAGTGAATATGATATGATTTGAATTGGTGGTGCTTATGATCCAATTACAAGCCAGAATGAGATGAGACTTTTAACCACGCAGGCTGTTGGACCGTCCACCAAATTTAGAATACCAGGTTTTAGGTCAAAATCATCGTGAATATTTTCATTATTCTACGGCAGATTTGCTTCTCAGGGCCGTCGCAAGATCCTGGTTGCTTTCGAGGAGATCACTGAATAATGGGCTGATTGTTATCTTGTTTCGTATCTGTTAAGGTTGTGTTTGTATTTCTATCAGATAACATATTTTTTTATACCAAACTTTTTTGCTGATAAAATATGGAAATCCACCAAAGCAGAGATCGACAACGAGGGGCCACCTAATCATGGGCAAACTTAAAAAGAAATACAAGAAAACATGCTAATTAGATACTATCACCAAAGCTAATCATCTTAATTAGAGATATAAAATATTACGCTTTGGTTAGTGTTTTGGGGCATAAAATATTACGCTTTGGTTAGTGTTTTATAACCCCCCACAGCAAAAAAGTAAAAAAAAAAAAATGGTTGTGTTTTGTTAAATAAATTTGTTTCTAATATAATTTTAAAATTTATTTATGTATTTTTAAAATAAAAAGTACAATCAGACATATTTATTCTATTTTTATTATTATTGCTTTTTTTTTTTGGGTCTCATGATGATGACCATTAAAGTGGATCCACTTTCCTTCTTACACGTTTTTTTCCCACTTATTCTAGTTTAATTAATTAACACGCAAATTACATTAAAAATCGGTGTCAATTAATTTAATTGATAAAATAGTTAATGAAAATTGCGATAATTGTTCAATTAATAAAGTGATTTGATGCTAAGAATCACCATGGCGACGAACTAATTAAAACCTAAATCAATTTCGAATTCAAATCATATTTTTCTTTTAGATATCACTCAGATTTCTTCCAAGAAACATGAAAATCTAATCCTGATAATGTGGGATTGGATGAAATCATGAAAACAATAACCAGGAAAAAACATCACCACATTATTTCTTGAGTGAAAAGAAATTATTGCATGCATTCTTGGTAGACAGTTGCAACCATTTTTTTATTTGAAGTTCCAAAGAACCAGAGCATGTCCAGTTCTAACCAGCATTAAAATCCACAGAATAGCTAGCAGATAAAACCCAGGAGATGGGAGGTGGGGCACGAACCCACCAAATCACCATGAGAGATATGGTGCCATCGCTCTCCAGTGCCAAATCATGTGCTCTTATCTTCTTCCTCGTTGTGGGATTTGTTTAATTAACTATGAACTTATTCGTATCCATGGAATCCCTGTGTCACTGTTATTTAGAAATTCGAAGTATCTTCATGGTATCAAGGATCTTGTTTTTGTGGGATTTTATTTGCTTATTTTCTGGACCTTTCACTTCGTACGGGATGATCTCCTATCCTGTTTACTGCTTTCTTGATCAACGTGAGATTCCCTACATTTTTCTTGCTATAAAGGGGTGAAGGGGACTCGTGCATGGGAAGGATTTTGAGGGGGTTAAAAAATATTTTAATATATTTGTAAGAAAAATATATTTTTTAAAAGCTAAAGTAGTAGAAAAATGCAGTTGCTTCGAAGAGAGGCACCGACTTCGGAACGACGCGGTCCGAGCGCTCCACAATCCCATGCAGGATGTGTTGTCTTCAGGTGCCAGGAAGGCACTAATAATTCATGTGATGGTGTCCTCCTGCTAAGTAATTGCTTGTTTGATATTTGGGTTCATAATTATTAAATAAACATGTCTGGGTTAACCTAATTAAGTATGTGTTTGATGTTGTTGTAGTTAGTTGAATTTTAGTTATGATTGTAAGAAAACAGGTTTCAAAAAAATATATTTGATTAAAATTACTGTGAGATAGATTTTTATATATAAACTAAATAAAAAATATATTATTTTAGCTCTTACATAATTAAAGTTTAAAATGTAATTATGTACGAGATTAAGTAGAAAAAGTATAAGCTATTTGAATAATTAAATTGTTTTTTAATCATAATTGAAAAAAAGAAAAAATTATCTAGATATTTAATATTTAATAGTCTTTGGACACAATTTAAATTAAATTGAATTAATATAAAAAAAATTAATTTTTTATATTAAAATAATAATGATGTGATAAAAAAAATGATTGATTACCCTAGTCCTTTTATAGGTCAGAAGTCAAGACGAACTAATTTAGACTAAGCTATCATTTAATTTCTATATTCTTAACAAAATAATTAACTAATTAATTTAGTTTAAAATCCTCGATAATATTGAAGCCTTGTGTTCCTGTATTTTATTTTGTAATTTACTCATTCTATGGTTTTCTAAGATTATTTTATTAATTTTCGTAAATTGTCCTTCATTTCTAATTTAATTGTCTAATCTCATGATCATCTAGTACAAATAACAAAAGTGCATTTACAGAGAGGTTTATATATCTAAAAAGAATTAATCATAAACTCAAGAAATCAATATTGGTCTAATTTATGACATTAAAAGTAGGAGGGACATACAAAATCACGAAAACAATAGGGACTTAATCATAATTTACCCCCTGGTTTCCAAGAAAAAAAAAGCCTTTTGGAATAAGTATAAACGCACCCTTTAATTACTGCAGCGGTAAGAATTTTGTATTTAATCAATTAATTCTGTAACTTTAATCCTTTGTATTTTCTAATGGTTTTAATTAATCCTTTCTATCCAATTATATCTATCAATTTTGATTAATAGAACCTTCTGTAAAAACTAATTTTAGAACAATTTCACAAATTAAAACTAATAACTACGTACAATCATAGACCTAAATTTCCTAAAATTCAATTCTAGTAAAAAACAACAATGGCTGAAAAATATAAAAAAGATGACTATGAACATTAATATGCATTACATGTTTTGTCTCAATCACATAATTGCTATAAAATATTTGGTTAATTAATATAAAATATAATTTTCTATAAATCCAACTAAAAACTTTTTTTATTTGGTTAATTAATATAAAATATAATTTTATATAAATCCAACTAAAAACTTAAAAAAAATATTAGTTAAAAAAACTATAATTTATAGTTTTTTTTAAAAAACTAAAAACTATAATTTATAGTTTTTTTAAAAAAAAAATTGTCACCCAAAAACTATTACAATACCAACAACACACTGAGATTACTTCTTGGCTCCAACAATTGCTACATAACAAGGATGATTAACGTGTACTTGAACAATGTTCTAAAAAAATGTATTTTTTTAGCTGTTAATTATAAGAATTAGGAATTATTATTTGATGACGCGGCAGCTGATAAAATATCAAATATCTCTTTTGCTCATCTTCTATTTAGTTTAAAATATTTAAAGTCAACTTCATGTTCTTTAAAAAATTAAAAATATATAGTAATTAATCAGTGGATCTATAGTTCAATATTACCTCTACAAAAGCAAAATCACGAAAATGTCACCCTCAAAAGTCTAAACTTTATCAATCTATATAATAATTATGAATCATTATTGAAGGTTATATATATACCATTGATTATATCAGACTTTCGCATTTTTTGATTTAAATAGATTTGGTGACAAAAAAATATTTAAACTCTAAATCCAGTCAAAGAACTTGATTTTTTACAAATAAAAATATCATATTTATTATATAATTATCTACATATAAATAAACCTTATTAAAACGATAATGAATCGGATGATTTTGATAGCATACCTACCATTTAGCAAGAAAAAAACTACATAAATCAAAGAAAAAAAATCCTATGAAGAATAAACACTCTATGCACTTAATTAGTTTTTAAAAATAAAAAAATTATTAATAGATATTTTAATATAAAAAATTATTTAAAAAGAAAGCATAATTATACTGTCAAAAACAATTAGTGCAATAAAAAAGACAAAAATCTCACATGACTTTAAACCTATAGAAAATTAGCCCTCAAAACATACCTCACATTTCAATTTAACCCTTAAAATAAATTTTTGATTCAATTAAATCGCCTAAGTATTAAACAATTCTTAATTTAATTTCTCATCTAAACTTCTCACGGATTTTCAATGAGAAACATCAAGCTCATTAAGAAACGGCGTTGTTTCTTTCCTTCAATGAAATTTCAAGTTCATATTATTAGATGTACATGGCGAGACTTGATTGAGAATTCTGACAAAAAATGTTTGGGGACACAACCAAAAACTCATAAATAATTAGGGACCTTTTTGAGTTTTATCCCTTTTCCCACGGTCCTTTTGGTATGGAGTCCAAACGCGATCCCATGCTGAGTTAATAATATGGACTTCAATTTGTGGAGAAGCCCATGTAAAATGTATGGCCAGTGGGCCCAATACGAGCGGGCCGGGACGGGTTTTGCAAATCTAAATAATTAAATGCTTTCATTTGAACTTTTTATTCTCATAGATAAAATATTAAATCATTACATTTTGTTTCACTGATTACTATTTAATTTTAATTTTTTAAGGTCATTAAATTGCTAAATAATTTTTTAAATTATTTATTGAAGCTTTTTATTAAGGTCATTAAATAATTCAAAATTTAATAATGACTTTAATAATCAACTCAGTTTAATAATAAGTAAACAATTAAATACTTCAATTTATGACTTTATTATACATAAATACGTGACCTTTTTGAACCTACGTTGTGCTACGACTCAACTCATTATCATCTCTATTTATCGGATTGTCATTAAATTATTATCTTAAAAATGCTACTGAAATATAAATTTTATAATTAAAAAAAGCGATTTACTTTATTACTTTCTCTAATAATTTCTACTTAATATTGCAAATACAACCTCGTGTCTTTGCGTCTACATGTCCAAGCCCAATCCCCTGCTCTATCGTGGTTCCTCCTCACCTTCAACTTTTTTGTACACAAAACCACTAGCAATCCACAAGTAAACACAAAAATTTAAAGCACTCAATGCTGCCAGCACCCAGTAGAAGTAGTCAACATGGGCACGGTTTAGATTGTCACCAAGTAAAATGCCAATGGACCTTGCTGTAATGGCCTGCACCGCAGTTATAATAGCAGTGTTGATGAAGCTCCCAACTCCGATCACACTTATATGGGCTGCAGCTCCGAGGCTTCTCATCGATTCCGGCATTTGATCGTAGAACAATTCCTGCAATCCAACGACCGTGAACACATCTGATATGCCGCTGATCATGTACTGTGGGAGTATCCACCAGACACTCATCGGGATTGTTGCTTTTGGGGTGTCCATTAGACCGTGCGCTCTTGCAATGCTAACCCTTTTAGCCTCTACTTGAGCTGCTACTACCATTTCAACTATAGACAGGAACAGGCCAATGCCAATCCGTTGTAGCATAGTTATACCAGAGCGGTGTCCAGTTAATTTTCTTGCCGCAGGGACGAAGATGCGGTCATAGATCGGAATGGTAAAGAGGATCGTGAGGCCTACGAGGCTTTGGAATGATGCTGGTGGAACTTGGAAGCTTGGTCCTATTGATCTGATCATTGTGCTGCCTTGCTTGATGAAAAGAGTGTATGTTTGAACTAATACCGCAGTGAACATGAAGCAACTTAACCAAATGGGGAGGAGGCGCAGCACAAGTTTCACTTCTTCCACCTGGTTCAGTGAGCATAAACGCCAAGGGTTTCTTGGCTTGCTTGAGGCATCCAAATTGTCAATGATCATGGCCTTGTCCAAGAACCTGAATGTTCAACATGTAATGATAGCAAGTCTATGAATAATGGATATAAATGACATGCATAATTTCTCCTAAACTTAAAAATATGATTTCATAGATTTGCTTATCCATACTTCTTTTTCCTCCAATTATAAACCTAATCCCAGCATGTCATTGATTATGATATTTCCTTTATTTTAGTGTTATAATTGAATGTTAAAAGTACAACTTAAATTTACCTTACATGTCGACACGATAACTCACTAACCAAGAGTTTAGTTCAGCTACATTTTCTTTTGAACTTCTGTAAAAGTTGATGAACTGGTTTATACATTAAAAATATAATAAAATATAAATATTTAATCTATAAAAAATAATAAAAAATTTATAAATGAATCATACTAACCTTTTAAAACATTAAACACGTTCAATATAATTAAAAAATTATTATTATTTAAAAAAGACTAAAAAAACAAAAACAAATAATAGAGAAGATGTATTAATTAAAACATAAATTTAAAAATTATTTTAATAAATAAATGAAAATTTAAAAAGAAAAGAAAGAAAGGAAGAAAAAAACAATACACCATTAACTTGGATTAAAGAGTGAAATTGAAAATAAAAAATTATAAAAATAAAGACTAAATTGAAAACACCAAGATAAAAAATTAAACATGTATAATTTTTCAACGTGTTTATTTACATATAAAATCATAAAAAAATTATAAACCATTGTGTAAATAAATGAAAAAAAAAGTCATTAATTATAAATAAAAACATAATTTGAAAAATTAAGGTACACAAATATGGATCAAGATATTTAATATCATAACATGGATTGTTTACTTGATTGCATTCAATGGATTTGTTTATTAAAATCAATTTGTAATAGAAATCGACACATATAAAACTTATTGAATAAAATAAATTGACAAAATATCATGCAAGGCTTCACATACTAAAAATGTTATAAAAAATAAATAATTAATATATAAAAATATTATAGATGAATAATACTAACCTCCTCAAAAATTAAATACACCTAATATAATTTAAAAAATAATTTATATTTAAAAAATGCTAGAAAAGTAAAAAATAAAGTATAATAAATTAGGGCATTTCCAAGCTCAAATATATATTTTTAGTTGTTTTCAAGATAAAAAAATCTAATCATAGCCCCCCTCGTAATATGAAACCATTTGACATAAAATCAATTATTTTATAGTCAAAATTATCATAAATAATAATTTTCTCTATCTAAGCTAAAATCTAAGGACCCCTTCTCCCCACAAAAAAAAAGACTAAAAATAAGAAAAATAAAGTTTGATATCAATTTTTTTTTTTAAATGATGGGACTGATCACTTAATAGCTATAAAAGATGAAACAAGATAATAAACTTTTCAAACAAATTTCAAAGTTGTCGCTATATTATTTATGTTTTTTACTTCAATTGTCTTTCTTTCAATTCATCATCTACTTCTAAAAAAACATGCAATTGGGTTCAAACTTAAACCTAAAATAGCCCAATCATGTAAAAAAAAAGTTTAATGATTAAAATAAATTTTTTTAAAAAATACTATTACAATCTTTGTTAAATTATAAGAAAAAAAAATTAGAAAAAAAAAACATGGCGTAGACACTATTAAGCCTACCAAGCTAGACTAGCTCCATTGACCTGTTTTGTCAAGACTCATATGATTGGGCTCTTAATTCTTTTTTGTTTATAACTAGAATATACAACATGTCATTTGCCTCAATTTGTTTTTAAAAGAATCACATGGCATGTTGTTTGATTTGTTCAAATTCTAGGCATTGTGGTGATCGAGAAATCAAGGCTTATTTTTTTTTACCCAAAAATCTTTTTTTAATCCATTCGACCTAAAACACCATAAATATCATGATAAACCTATTTATAATCTCAAAAAGCTACCCCAAAAACTGAAAAAAACTCGAATTTAAAAATTAACCTGAGTTTATATATGTTATTTAATAAAATTTAAATGTAGAAAAACATATAATATAAACTCTTTTCATTAAATAAATAATATAAACTCTTTTTATTAAATAAAACTATTTGACAGTTTAAATCAGTGTTAAAGATATTTTTCTCTCTCTATTGTAGGAAATTTGACAATCTTTCTCTCTCCTCTCTCAATTAAAAATTTAAAAATAATAAAAATAAACTTTTATACTAAAATGAAGTTAGAAAAACATTGAAGCTTTTTTCATTTCGGTCCATCTTGTTTTAATTCTATATTTTTATAAAAAATTAAAATCAATTATTCTTTAATTAAGATTAAATTACTGAAAACAAAAAACCAAATTAAAAAACACATAAAATTTTATACATCTCATTAACAATAAACAATATTGTGTAAAAAAGATAGACAGGAAAGACTTGAACAGTAAAAAACCCACTAGAGTAATAATTATCACCAAAACTAAGCTAGGCCCCTCTTTCCGATGTGGAAGATATGGTCTCAGGAGAAGGTTAGACTTTTCTACTCGAGAGTTGAGAGAAAGCAAAGAAAAAAGAAATTAATGACCTGGAGCCACCTGGAAAGTAGGGGGGGAAATCTTGATGCTACCTGAAAGCAAGAAAGCTATCGGTGATTTTACAGTAGGTAGGATTCCGTTCTGTTTCAAGAAAGAAAAGATTGTTCCTCGGAGAAAGAAAAGTTGTTAATGATTTTGGCTGAAGTATGGCTTAACTGATTCTATTCAAGAGAAAGCAAAGCAAAAAGACTTGATTAATCCACCTTAAAAATGAAAGTTAACATTCTTTATTGAACATGTCTTGATTCTGTTGAACAGAAAAAGGAAGCAGTGCACTGATGATCTTGACAGGACTTGTCCTGTCCTGGAAAAGATAGGTATAGAGGATATAATTTGCAGCTATTCTTGATGTGCTAGAGTTTCACGAGTCCATGCCACCCTCTGTTCCTCATCATTAAAGCAAATTAACAGATCAGAGCTTAAAGCTTCTTTAAACTTAATTTTAGATTCTTATACGAGAGGATGTACCGAATATAAGTTGTTAAATAAAATTCTGGTCCCCAGAAACTTGTTGTTGAATAACAGAGGCTTAGGCTTGAAGAAATTTTTATGCTTTTCTAGGATCTGAAGTGTGAACAGGGAGTTATTTTGGAGGCCGCGAATCTCTAAGATGCTTTGCGTGGTTGCCTTTTCTTGCATACCAAACAGCACTTTTTCTCAGAAAATCCAAATAAAATTGATGCCTACACCTTGAGTGAGCATTTTTAGGCCAACGAATCTAACACTAGGCAAACCCATTAAGAGGTAGCCATGTTCATCGATATGACCCCGACCAATACTAACCATTAACCTCCATGTTCTTCATTTCAACATAGCCATTGAAGATAAGAGGAGACTTTTAGACTATATGCTTGCCTTTTGAATTGAATGATACCTGTATTGACTTGTGGCAGCCAAAGTTCGACTGTTGCCGGTTTGATCTTCCACGTCAGTCCCTACTGCCTCATAACAAATGCCCAAACCTTGGTGAGTCTCGATCACGCGCCGCTTCCGCATGGCTGCCACAAATACTTGTGCCACCATGGTGAAAGGGCTTTTCACTGGAGCTTGTTTCCTATATCTCTTAATTCCTGCTAAGAATATAAACAATGCCACCCCCAATGCTCCTGTCAGCATTCCAAATCCTGCTGTCCATCCCACATTGTCCTGTTCATCACATAATCACAATTTCAATATTGCATTCCACGTTCATCGATGCCACATAATTTTGGAACATTAATGCATTAAGCATCAAGTTCAAAAGTAATAATGAAACTCGGCCTGGACATGACTCGACTTAAATATTAGGTCAGAGGCTAGATAGGTTAACTAAATCAATTAAAATAAAAATGTTTTAAATTCTCAAATTAAAACCATGTTTTTTTTTTTAATAACTTAAGTTTTGACTGGGTCGCATGTTGACCCGTTGAGTTGATTAGAACATCATATTAAATCAACTCTTTTTATTTTTTAAACTTGGCTCGAGTCATGTTTTGAATCAAACTGCTTAGTCATGCCGGTTTAAAAGCTGTGGTATAAGAAGTGAATTGTTACTCTCATTTCCGTTGGAAAACTGGGAAATAATACAAAGCCTGGTTTACCTGAATGTAAATGACCAACAGGACAGCAGAAGATCCGCCAGCCACTATACCTAAGTACCACCAATTGAAGAATGAACTCTTGGCCGCCTTCTCCTCTGGCTTCTCCTCATCAAACTGATCCGCTGCAAAGGTCTGCACACATGGCTTGTGCCCACCTTCACCAACAGCTAGTATGTAGAGAGCAATAAAGAACACAGCCTCACGGTAACGCATAGGAATTACCGAGACCGATAAGGTCAACAGAATCATCCCCTGTGATTAAAATTCATTCGAGCAAAATTATCAACAAAAAGTCAAGTACTGCACAGTCTCTGTAGCTGTAAGTAGATGAACTTCACAAAGAATAAATCTCAAAAACAAGTTCAGTCAAGTTAGCTAGAGGGTGTGCTTCACACATTATGGCCAGGTGTTGAATTCTTCTGGGCAAGGAACAGTTAGATTAGGCAGGAGCTGTTAGGCACCAGGATATCTTCAGAATTACCATAACAAGTTACGAAGGAAGGGGAGTTAAAATGGTAGCCAGTGAACATACGAGGAAGTAAATGGCTGAGGCGAGAAGGATGGTCTTGAAGCGGCCAAGTAAAGAGTCAGCTACAATTGCTCCGAAGATGGGGAAGATTGCTGATACACCAACCCATGTGTTGACATTCTTGATGGCTGTGGAAGTGGACTGATGAAGATCATTTGTGAGGTATGTTATGAGGTTACCAGCCAAACCATAGTAGGCAAACCTCAGACTCACCTCAACAACTACAGCCATACATGATGAAATGAAAGTTTCAACTCTTTAGAACAACGTCAAAAGAAGAAGAATTTTATTTGTTCAAAGAAAAATAAAGGATGATGATGAAGTTTTTAGCTTACAGATAATGAAGATGGCAGAATTCCAGCCACCTTTGGTGGGTTTTCGGAGGGTGGAGACGACCTTGGTCTCTTCCTGGCGATTCCGAGTCATGACTGGAGCAACGATGATATCCATTGAAGGTTGTAAGAATTTTTGGACATGGTTTGAAAGGCTAATTTCTTGAGTATTTATAGAATTTTTTTTCTTTTAAAAAAAGTTATTGTTGTCAAGAGGAAGGCAGACTTGGACAGTCCATTTGATCACAGAAAATATCAAGAGTGTCATTTCAACAGCTGGAAAGAGATTGGTTCCCGTGGTTAGGTGAGAACACCCCATGCAATCCAAATTCATTTTTAGCATTTGTAATTATTAAGAAAAACTTCAAAAATGCCATAGTTGCAAAACTCTATCCATGGTAAGGCCTAGATTGTGAATTTACGGGGTTAATTTCCATCAACCTGACTTAAATAAAAAAATATGAGGATATTTAAGTTCTTTATTTTTATTTTTTTAACTAGAATTGGTTCAAATTTCATATCAGTTCAGGTTCTGAACTACCCTGATATGCTGCTAGTTTGAGGATTGCAACCATGAAAAATACATTTAAATTATAAGATTAATGAGATTTATAAATAGATTTTATTTTTAAATTATATTTTAATTGCTCAAATTACTCATTACTTTTATGTTATCTTATCACATTTATAACATTTATATGAAAAACTCAAACCACCATACCATTAGATCATATGAGTTCTTTTTTTAGAAAAAAAATTGTATTCCCTTGAGTATGTGTGTGTCCATATATATATATATATAGAGAGAGAGAGAGAGAGAGTGATGGAGCAAGATACATGATTTTTAATTGAATTTTTATCCTTTTAATTTATTCTTTCATTCTAAAACAATGACCAAACACAACATTTTTATTTAAAATCTAATTAGCTTTATGTATCTTAACAAGGAATGGCAAGGCTATATTTATTATGTTGACCTTTATATAACGTAAAATGACTTCCTCTGCCTCCCTCTCTCTTCACCGTGCACGCTCACTCGCCATGCTCTCCTCCGTGAACAAGTCTCGAAGCCTTGCCATGGGATTGTTAAGATCGAAGCAGTTTTTTTAGTTAAAAAAAACCAATTATTTTTCGAGGCATAAGTACATGTAAGAAAAGAAAAATCATTTGCTCCATCTCTCGCTGCTATTTTCATCATCTGCTTGGTTGTTAATGTTTCTTAACTTGTGTTTAGTTTAGTGTTAAAAATTGATGGTTAATTATTAAGAGATTTAAGGTTAAAAATATTAAATCATACTTGAAAAATAAATTGTTAAAAATATTTAATACAGTAGGGTGGTTTAAAAAAACCAATTAACTAATTAAACTAAATCAAATAAAAACAAATTAATGAAAAAACTCAAATGAAGAGAAAAAATTAAAGAAACTAATTTAAAACAAGAAAAATCACTGATCGAACTTGGTCGGGTTCGCAATAAACCAATACTTTATCATAATATTTTTATATATCCTTACCAAAAAATATTGAATAAACAAAAACTTACAAGTATATTTTTTTTAAATAAGCATGTTTTAATGAAAACATATTGAATTTAATGTTAAACAAACCCAGTTATAACTAGGCTTGATAACATGTAAAGCCTTGAATAAACTAGGTTTGGTCAATATTAAATTTATATTAGAGACTGCACCGCTAGTCCTTTATTGCCACAACCAATTATTGGACATAATAGTTGTTGCCAAACCTAGTAGCGTGAGATGTGGTTTATTGAAAGTAGTCTCAGGATTTTTGTCATTAAGCATGGTTGGATTCTCCATACCTATAAATTCAAGCATAATATATAAATCTAACACTATCAATTTTATAGATTTCTATATAAAATATTAAATAATTTATTTTTTAACAAATTAATTTAATTAAATAAGTTTATACTCTATCAACGCTATTAAATATATTAAAGTCTTTCATAACCTACTATATTTTTATATTTTTACTAAATAAAATAAGTAAAATATAACTTATAATATAACTTAAAATATTATAAATATAAAATTATATTTCAATCATTTCTCTTTTTTTTTTTATAATAAAACCTTTATAACAACAATTTATAATTTTTATTTTTTATTATATATATAAAACCTTTTGTAATTATTATTCACAAGTAAATTTGGTCTACTAAGTAAATTATCAACCATTTTAATTAAAAAAGATAAATGAGATTATTATAACCAGTTAGTTAACTAATTATCTAACTCGTAACTCGGAAACCTAGTTACTAGACTATTTAAATTTTTTAAATTTTATTAGTTTGATTTTAGTTTTAAAAAATTAAAAAAATTAATCCAAATATAAATCAACTGATACAAAACAGGTATAAATAGAAACTTAAAACATTTTAACCTTGAAAGATTTTCCTGTTTTGTTATTAGTTGGAGCAGGTCTTGCATCACCGCCAAAGGAAACGGGGGAGCTGTACGATTTATATTTCGAGGCCCTCCATCTCCATTTTAAAATTTCAAAGTAACAAACTATTTGGTTGGGTTAATTGTTTTGTTCTTTGTCCTTTGTAAAAGTGTTTTTGTTTCTGATGAATTATCTTTCTTGTGATTATTTAATATTTATTGTTGGATTTAAGAGCACAAAGAGTTGATTTTTTGCTTCTGTCAATAATGAGAACTTTCAAGTAATCCAAATCCTAGTGTTTTTTTTTTACTTTTCAAAAAAATTCATTCAAAAAATTAAATAATCATGTGCTTTATTATTAAATAATTAAAAATAATTTATAAGATAAAAATTCTATTAAATCTAATAGCATACATGACATATATTATAAGTTTGCTTAATTAACTTGAGTTTATTTAATTTTTTATTAATTAATGTTAATTTTTACTTGTTTATCATTTTTAATATATTAAATTAATTCATGATTGATTTTTTTTTTAAATTTATCCTCATAAAATCAACCCAATTTCTCTGTAAATAAAATATTTTTAATATTATTATTAAATAAATATATCCTTTTAACTCATGATGAGTAGATTTGTATGGAAATCTTTGTGCTTGACTTTTTAGTTCGATAACTACGTCAGAGTGGCATCCTTCGAGTATCACGAAGACCTAGGCCTGAGTCCTCTTTTAGCCGTGCAAGTAATTCTCCATACGTCTCAATGCACGAGTCAAAAAAGGATAATGTGTTTCCCATCAAAGACTTCCCTTTCCTCCACCCTTTTGAGCTTATCTTTTCTCCCTTTTCAGCTTGTTGATTCAATAGTTGTTCAGGTCTCGGAGAAATTATTCTTATTTGAGTTCCACGCCAGTTTCTCCACCATCAAAGATTAGGTTTTCGCTGATCCTAGACCTATCTAGGATACTAACAAAATAACTTCTTATGCAGCACTCTAGCTAGCTAGATTGGTTGGTATAATCTCACGTAGGGCTACAATATTGGTGGAAAATGCACTCCTTTTAGTGTGACGATTGCCCCCAATAAATATTATTCTATACCGACTCCACTACTTTTCCTTGCATCATCGATGACAAGATCAGCAAATTATCGTCCCAGCATTCGATCAGTGATTTTAATATCTAGACTCCAGTTACTTCACCCAGAGCCCATGAACTCGATAATGGTCATCTCTATCTCTGGATGCACAGGAGTCAATGGAGTGATCTTGCAAGTTAGTCTCAAAGATAAACACTCTAGCAGTCTAGTGGCTAGGTTGGTTGTGTTTGTATTTAAAAATATTTTTTATCTAGAAATAAATTAAAATAATATTTTTTTTTATTTTTTAAATTATTTTTAATATTAATATATTAAAATAATTTAAAAATACTAAAAACATTAATTTAAAACAAAAACAAACTTTTCCTTGCATCATCGATGACAAGATCAGCAAATTATCGTCCCAGCATTCGATCAGTGATTTTAATATCTAGACTCCAGTTACTTCACCCAGAGCCCATGAACTCGATAATGGTCATCTCTATCTCTGGATGCACAGGAGTCAATGGAGTGATCTTGCAAGTTAGTCTCAAAGATAAACACTCTAGCAGTCTAGTGGCTAGGTTGGTTGTTTCTGTATTTAAAAATATTTTTTATCTAGAAATAAATTAAAATAATATTTTTTTTTATTTTTTAAATTATTTTTAATATTAATATATTAAAATAATTTAAAAATACTAAAAACATTAATTTAAAACAAAAACAAACTTAAAAAAATAATTTTTTTCTAAAACATTTTTAAAACACAAAAATAAATACAACTAGTAATATAAGTGGGAATTGCAGTCTTTAGGTGTGACTGACGATGCACTCTTTAAGAAAAATTGTAGACCGACTGCACTACCTTCGCCAGCATCATCAATGACAAGGAAAACAAATGATTGTTCGTTCCAACATTCGATCAGTAATTTTAAAATCTAGCTTTAAGCTTTAATTCGTACGGCGCTCATGAATATTTATATAATTCTCATCCCATGATCACTAAATTAGCGATCTAGCTAGCTTCTTCTCTTTGATGATATCCTAGTCGATTGCCATTAAATCATCTTTCATGCATTGTTGTCAGAATCTGGAAAGAAAATTAAGGTGCTAACCAGTAGGATATCAACGAAAAATGTTGAGTTGAAGTTACTTTGGGTTCATTGTTGGTCTATAATCAAAGTTATTAAATCTAATGTGGCTTGTGATGTAAATCTAAAATAATATTGTTTATTATTTAAAAAAATTAAAATAATATTGTTTTGAAGAATTTTTTTAAATAAAAAGGTAAGCTGGATAATATTTATAAAGTCAATTAAATTATAAGTTGATTTATCTATTTAGCTGCTGTTTAGTAATGCGGTTGCTGTGACTGTGTTAACAAAAAGCTAAAAAATTATGCTTTTTAATAGCTGCTAACCTCGTTTTTAAAATCCGCTATGCTAAGAAAAAAGAGCCGGCTCAACTATTCATTTTTTATCTCTAGAATTGCAAATTCTATATGTTGTAGCTTGTCTTCTCCAAACATTACATAAGAGAGCAGGCAAAGGATGACTTCCTGTAACTTTTTCCTGACATGATTGTGTATGATCCAGCCGAAGACTTGTTTGAAGATCAAGATAATGAAGATGACTAGGGGCGGAGCAATCCAGCTTCGCGATCTGCTTCACAAGGAATGGTGCCTTTCCTCTCTCAAACTTTAATCATC